CTGTGATGGTGGAGGTTAGCTGTGTGGGGAGCACCGGGCCTTTGCTGATGTCTTCACGGCCCCGGCAGAGGGTCGGCAGGCGGAGGGAAGCAGAGCTGTGTTGACGCATCTGCACCCTGTCTGACGGTGGCATGCCACCTGCTCCCGGCATACGTGTCAGCCTCCACTTCACTCCATGTATGCCTTACAAGGAATTGCACTGAGTTTTGCTTGGACAAAGTATATAGCATACAGTGTGAAAGCTTATCAGTGACTTGCTATGTTTCCAGCCCCCAGAGTCCAAGACAGAACAGATTTATAAAGATGCTGATAGAAAGAGGCAGTCATAGTGGAAATGTAGACCAAAAAAATGAGGTGTTCCACTGCGATCAGAACCACTTTAGGACAGAGTCGTCGGAACAGCACCCTGTGTTCAGCTAGCGACTGCCTGCTTTTATCATTTTATATTTTGTCTGCAGAAATTGGTTTTGGCTGTTGTTTTTGAAGCATCACTATAATGGTGGGCTTTGTGAGTTCTGAAACAGAATAAAATAAATGACCTTGGTCCCCTTCCACTCTTTCCGCCGGGGCCTCAGGATCTAAATGGAAGCGTTCAGCTCATACATGTTCAAAGACACACAGGGTCAAGTTCCAGTTCCCTGAATAGGATCGGCCTGCCCATCAGTAAATGAGACCTTAGCAATCGTCTCTTCTCACCTCATTTTATAGATGACAAAACTGAGGCTCGGAGTAGCTTACTGTCCTCCGAGGGGTTACGTGGGAGTAAAGGGAAGGCTGAACTTGAACGCAGGTCATGGGTTTCCTGCTGGAGTCATGGGGTTCTGCCCTGTCTACTGCTGGACCTCTGGTCTCTGCTCTCTGGCTCCAGCAGTAGCCTCTTCATCTCCTGCCATCTCCAGGGACCCTGCTGTCTGAGGGTCACATTCCTGGCAGGGAGGGGGCTGCTTCTGTGAGTCTCATTATCCCTGGGCCTTGACTGGGCTCCCCAGCAAGTGCAGGCCTAATTTTTCCCACTTACACTTAAAATCCTTTTAAATGAATAAAAGAAAGAAAATAACACTGCCCTTGAGGAATCTTTGGCCCTTTGTTTTTCTCCTACTCAGTCTGAATGCTTTTTTTAAAAAACCTCAAGAGTCAGAGGTTCCCTTTTACTAAAAAATTAGCTGCTTTGCTTTCCTGACCTTTTGCCGTTTAAACTGTCTATCTTGTGGTGGACAGTGCATTTTCAGAGCTTTACCAATGGTCTACCTATTGCCGCAAAAGCACTACAAGCTCAAATCATTGATAACCATTTAATGCTTATGCTAGCTTTTAATGAAATCTTTTTCCAAAGTTTATGGTCTTTTCCTTAAGTTTTTCGTTAATAAGTGACCTTGGTCCCCTTATAATTTTTTCCTCGGAAGCCACAGGATCTGAATGGAAGCGTTCAGCTCATACACATTAAAAGACACACAGACAGTGTCAAGTTCCAGCTTTAAGGCAGGTATTTTGTTACATTAAAATATATGGTTCATGTGTTTTCATCCCCACAGCCTGGGTGTATCTGCTGCAGAGATGGGTGGGCCAGGATCACGGGGCAGGGTGGTGGACCCCGTGAGTGTGGGGTGTGTTGTACTCCAGAGGAAGTAGGTTTCAGCTGCCACAGAGTGGCTCTGATTCATAGCGTCCTGGTGTGAAGCAGAACAAGGCCAGGGCCAGCCCCGCGCCGTCCTCCTAACCGCTCCTCTCTGCTCACACCTGTTGGCGTCACTGTGTCAGCCGTCTTGTTGAGGGTCTCCCACTCATGCGTTGACTCTCTGCTTTCAAGCATGCTGTCCTTTTCCAAGGACTAGCTTCTCCCTCATTCCCTGGGGTTGAGCTGACTCACAACTGACCCTTCATCCATTTGGTTTCCAAGGTTGGTTGGGTTCTCCTTGGAGAAAGACAGCATGCTGAGAAAGGTGGAGGGTCAAAAAGTGGAAGAAGACCCTCAGACAACTGAATCGACACTGTGGCTGTCACGACAGGCTCAAGCGTATCGGGACCCGGAGGACGGTGTGGGGTAGGGCAAGGCTCACACCGTTTGTCCAGAGGGTCACTTGGTGGCACCTACAGCCCCTTCTGAGAACAGGCTCAAAGTCTATGTGACAAAGTCTTCCCATCCTTGTGTCTAAGCAGTGCTCTGACTTCACTGCTTCCAAAACTCATTGATTTGTGTGTTGTTGTGGGTTGTTTTTTTTTTTTTTGGCAGTCCATGGGGTATTATTATATCAAATTGTTATTGTTGTTGTGTGCTGTCAAGTCAGAACTGACCCATGGCTGACCCTCCAACATGTTTTCAGAGGCAGTAAATCTCAAGGGAGGAGATTGCCCATCCTTCTCCCACAGAGCAGCTGGTGGATTCGAACCATGTGCCTTTAGGATTGCAGCGCAGCTTCTTACTACTAGGCCTCCAGTGCTCCCTCTATCAAGTTGTTGTTGTTGTTGTTGTTGTTGTTGTTGTGTGCCATAGAGTAAGGACGGACCCATAGCTGGCTGGGATTGCAACACAGCTTCTTGCCACTAGGCCACCAGCGCTCAATTAGGAAGCTTTAAAAACTGTACCTCTCAGGTTTGCTTTCTGAATAAAATGACGTTTGAAGATCCTTTCAGCCTACCAGCAGAAGTTCATTTTCCAAACCTAAGGTGAAATAGTCAGTGCAGATATCTAGGAAGAGGATCCAAATCTAAATGAAGGCTAATTTCCAAATGTGGACATTTTATTTTGGGTTTGTTTTATAATTTTGTTATTATGTCCTTGCTAGATTTTAACTGTGTAGATCAGCCTTGAATGGCACGTTGTTAAGTGTTTCTAGCAGTTTTGAATGTTGTACTGGTGGTGGAATGGCATCCCCCCTCACTCCCTGGGGCTGAGCTGACTCATAACTGACGCTCCAACCGTTTGCTTTCCAAGGTCGTGAACAGCATGAGGAAAGATTGTCCAGCATCCTCTCAAGGGGCCTCTGGCGGATTTGAACCACTAGATGGGTTTGGCCTGTGAGTTAGCCACACAGCTCCTGTGGACTTGGCCAACAGAGCTCCCTTATGGTAAAACTCAAAGAAGGGAGAAAAAAAAACAAAACACCACCACATTATTTTTTACCATTTGATGCATAAACTTGCCATTTCACTTCAGTCAGTATTTGCGAGTATGTACATTTCTTGGTTTTGCATTTCAATTAGAAAAAATCTTCTGCCTTGTTTCCTGCAGGTCCTTGTCACTTACTTGGAACCCACTGTCCGAATAATTTCAATACATTAACTTACTCCCAGGGTACTTGCAAACCGCAGCAATAACATGCATTACACACCTCTTGGAGTTTTCTAGAGCATAGAAAAGCCATTTTCACTCTACACTGTGTTCTCTTAAGGGAGTTTGGGTGGTGCATCCATCGCATGTTGCACTGCTAAGGGAAAGGTCAGTGGTTTGAATCCGTCCGCTACTGAAAGGGGGGAAAGTAGGCTGTCTCCACTCATGAAGATTTAGCGGAGAGACAGAAGCAACCCCATTGTCCATCAGTCGTCAAGTGGCTAGAGAAACCATGGTGCATTCACGCAGTAAGATAAAATGCATTGCTAAGAAACTACCCAGAATTAGTGAAATAATGCAAACATGGATGAATCTAGAACAGATAGTGCTGTGTGACATAAGTCAGTCACAATAGCACTGTTAGGGTATTATAAAAAGGCAGAATCCTTATATTCGAGTCGGAAATGGCTCACAGCTGACTTGCCATTGGGTTTCCGAAGCTCTAAGTCAAACAGGAGATTTCCCGCCTCTCTCTTACTGCACCCCTGGGGGATTTGAACCACCAGAGAGGGAAGGCCTTTGGGTTAGCAGGGCAGCTGCCTACGGATTCTGCCATCAGAACCCCTATTATAGAATAAGATCACGATTGTAAACTGAGGAAAGGTCTACACACAACAGAATCATTTTTGAGGAATAAAAAATTGTTTATGTGTATTTACCAAGGGCCAGAGGGAAGTGGAGAATCATCCCTTAAGGAACCCTGAGTTCCTGTTTGGAGTGATTAAAACTTTTGGAAATAGGGAGAGACTTATATGAATAGTGGAGAAAAAGGGGGGGGAAATATTTACAGCCTCAGAAACCACTGGAGAGTAACTGCGTCAGAACCTGTTTGTAGGCCATGGGTGATTTTTGGTCATTAGTAGGGGCAGTTCAGGAAGCTCTGGTGGGAATCGCTGCTGTCCATCAGAAGGTGAGCTGTTCGAGCCACTAGGAGAAAGGGGCAGTCCATTTCTGTTAAAGTCACAACCTTGGAGACCGTCTGGACAGTTCTGCCCTGACCTATAAGCTCACTTGCAGTTGGAATTGTCTTGATGACAATGGGGAAAGGAAATTTCCTGCCTCCCCGCAATGTTGGTGGTGGTTTGAAAGAAGTGCCTGGTGTGTGCATTTGTGCATTAGTTTAGATAGATCTTATATTTTTAAAAAATCATTTGAATGTTTAAAGGAATAAAGCTCTAGGTTTTTGTAAAATTTAGTAGTCAAGAACATTCAAGTAGACAAGTTCTCCAGGGGTTCCAAATTTATCTACATTTTAAAAGAAAAGAAAAAAGCTTGCCATCAAAAATGTTCATTTGTATACTGATAATTTTAAAAAAGAAATATGCAAACATCTTTAGTTCTTCAGTGTACTTGCTAATATTGTTCATTCATCAGATATTTAATGAAACTTGTTTTCACACAGAATGGAATGGCTTCTGAAAGTCCCACAGCCACTGACAGGGACATCCTCTCAGTAGATGTTTTGAGCCCATTGTGTGTGATGTCATTCACACGTCATAAGTTACCCCTCAGTTGACATTGTGGGGAAGTATTCCCCCAGTTTGGTGTCTGTCCAGCCTGTTCTCCAGTGGTGTGTCTGTAAAAGTCCACCTCACATTCATGAGGGTTGGCGCCCGTTACATGCCCGGGCTGAGTCACCTATTTGCTGACATCCTTTTCTGTTCTTCCCTAGCGACTGACGGCCAACACAGGAGGCCAGCAGCGGAGTCGGCTGTCCATCATGGCCCAGTACCTCTGCAGTGTGCAGCACCTCTTTACAATCCCAGGCCAAGCTTTTGTCCCCAAACCAGAGGTGAGCCTTGTGGTTCTTGTGGTTTTGGTTATTGTTTGTTTGTTTGTTTTGCTTATTGATTTTAATGTACCCAAATCAGATTTCAGCTGTAGTCTTTACTTCCCTATTTGCGTCACTGCAAATTATCTGCAGGATCTAACCTTGATTTCTGTGTATGTCAGACCCTAACATTTCTCTTATGGCTCCTGACTCAGAAACCCCAAAACCCTACCCTCGGGCAGGTTTCCAGGAAACTATAAATCTCATGGGAGGAGATTGCCCATCTTACTTCCTCTGTGGTTCTCTTGAATACAGACCATAAGAATTGAGTGTGTGAGTGGTTTTCCTTCAGATTTTGCTCCCATTGATAGAGTGACTAAATGCATCTGTTTATGCACATTGTTCTGATGGCACTGCTGCCATTATTATTATTATTATTATTATTCCTCCCACTTTTTCTGTCTTTACTTAAAAGCATCCCAGTGTGGAAGGAAAGACCAGTTACACACTCAGCAAATCAATTTTGTGTATGTAGTTTCTGATGTTGTTGTTAAGAGTCACAACCAACCCGTAGCTGACCCTCCAGTGGGTTTTCAGAGACAGTAAATCACACAGGAAGAAATTGCCCGTCTTTCTCCCGTGAAGCAGCTGAGGGATTTGAACCACGTGCCTTTGGGTTTGCAGTGCAGCTCCTTACCACTCAGTCACCAGGGACATCTAACTTAATTCAGACATTATTTATTTGATTTCCCCTCATCCCACCCACACTGTTTTTAAAGACTTTGTTTTGTCAGAGTCGTTTTTGGTAAGTCAATTACCTGTGGAAAAATAATTAGATAATAACATGGATTCTATGCTTATTATAGATGTGTAAGTGCTAATTACAGAAATGGTTTATCTGCTTAAAAGTAAAAAGGTAGTGTCCATGGCAGCAAACCTGCTACTTAATGCATTCCTATAAAACACGTCACAGGAACACTTCACTTGTCTTTCTCTCCATTAAACATGTGTTTCATACCTGCCTGAAAAGCGCTGGGCAGAGGGGGGTGATGGGGCAGGGGGCCGTTCGTTGGCGGGGATCCAGACATTTCGTGGCTTAGGGAGGAACAGGCATTGATCCTTGGCTGCTAGAACTCTAAGACGTCAAGACTCACGGGCCTTCTACACCGTGTAACCTTCACTTTAAAAAAACAAAAAAACGGTCAATGGTGTGAAAAAGTTTTATTGAATTGTACTAGAAAATATGCATGACACCTTTTTTTTTAATTGAGATTTTATTGTAAGTTTATCAAGAACTTGGATTTCCATCCATTCATTCATGGTTGCACATTTTCCTCCCTGTCCCCCTTCCCCCCAGTTGCACATTTCCACCCTGTTCCCCCTCCCTTGCAGTTTGCTTTTTGCTTTGGGGAAAAAAAGTTCTTTCATTGTTATACAGTCCCCCATCCCCCAGACCACTTTACTATGCAGCTCTTATTCTGGACTCTTGTCACTTTTTAATATTTTCATTGAGTTTTATATAGTCTTTCATTACAGTGAACTTTTTTTTTTGTTACATTGTGTCTTATAAGTTTAAACACCACTAACCCATATCCGCTACACTGTCTTTTCGGATCCCCACTGGATCTTTTCTGATTCCTTCACCAACCCCCTCTGCCCACCAAACTCTCTTCCCAGTGGTTTTTCCACTACCCTCTTCTCTTGTTGGATATTTGTACACTTCTTACTAGTTATCCTTCTAGTTTTATAATAATGTTCTTATGCAGTATTTGTCCTTATGAGAATGAGTAAGTTCACTCAGCATGATGCTCTCTAGCCATGTTATATATTCCATGTTATAAAATGTTCTTGTTGTTGTTGTTGTTATGTGCCGTCGAGTCGCCTGAGACTCATAGCGACCCTATGTACAACAGCCCTAAACTCTGCTCTGTCCTGTGCCAATCGCACTGTCTCTGACACTCCCATCCCAATTATCCCAGTCACTGAATCAATCCACCTCATAGAGGGCCTTCCTCTCCTGCGCTGTCCCTCCACCCTCCCAAGCATGATGTCCCTCTCCAAGGACCGGTCTCTCCTCACAACATGTCCAAAGTATGTTAGACGGAGCCTCCGAATCCTTGCCTCCAAGGAGCCACCCGGTTTAACCCTTTCCAAGATAAATCTGTTTGTTTTCCTAGCAGTCCATGTATGTTATAAAATACTTTTTAAAAATCATTGCTGTTGAGTTGTGCATAGTATTCCACAATTTCTTAATCCATTCATTTGTTGATGGGCATTTGGGCTGTTTCCTTGTTCTTGCTAATGTGAATAACGCTACTGTGAACACTGGCGTATAAATTTCTGTTTGTATCTCAGTTCCATTTGTCTTCGGGTAAATTCCTAGCAGTGGAATGGCTGGGTATTATGGAATTGCTATTTAGCTTTCTGCAAAGTGCCAAACTGCCTTCCAGGGTGGCTGTGCCGTTGTACGGTCCACTAACTATGGAGCTCCAGTCTCTCCACATCCTCTCCAACCTTCTCTCCACGTCATCTCCAACATTCATTGCTTGCTCTCCGGTTAAACTTTGCCACTGCTACAAGGGTGAGTTAACCTCACTGTGGTTCTGATTTGCATCTCTCTTTTTGCCAGTGACTTTTTAGCATTTCTTCGTGTGCCTGTTGGCCATTCAAGCTTCTTCCTCTTAGGAGAGTCTTTCCATGTCTTCTGGCATGGCACTTTTATTCTTTTTCAGGGAGTCTCACGTGGTTTTTCCCAATCTAATTCAGTAGCACATCTCTGATAATGGCAGTGGAGTAGGTGAAGTCGAGAACAATCCTCAGGTGAAGTGGAAGACATGTAGATGAACTGTTGAAATGAAAATCGTTCAGGTGGTTGCTGAGCGGTTTCTAGACTTGGGGTGGGGGCCCTACCCACTAGAGTTGGAGCCCCGCGTGTGAGCTGAGGCGGGGTGGCCTCCACGCTGTCTGCAGCTCCCCCGCCACGCTCTGTTGTGAGTTGCTGAGTGTTGAGAGGAGCCCAGTGGTTCAGTCCATCTTCCTGATGTCGGACAAGCTCAGGAAGCTCACCAGTCTCCCCTCCTTCGAGCATCTCATGGTTTCAGAGACGTAGAAGATGACTTCTTCCCAGGCGGTTAGACCTAGACATGATTTGATGGCTGGATATTTCTTCTAGGGGGTCATCAAATTTACCATGTCTGTGGTTTCAGGTGCAGGTGATCATTGTAATAAAGACAGTCACAAGGGCATTGAGGCTACTCAGGAACCACTGACTGTACTAGGAGGCTTTTGTAACCACAGTTATTACTATGAGTAAGACTCTTGGGCAGTTACTTTGATTTGTTTGTTTTTATTACCATTATACAGTCTTCAAGGATATCTGAAATTTACAGATTTCTGAGAGTAGATGTTAGAGTACTTGGAGTGAGAGGTTTCTGACTCTTGGTTTTAGTTGCCTGGCTGAGAGTATTTGATGGTAATGAGTGGTGTTATCAACTTTATCTTTTATTTAAGGGTAAATTATACACATAGCTAGTTAATTAATTTTCCCCCCTCAAAGATAAAGGCCTTAAGAAAATACTTTTTTTTCCCCCTTTTTTAAAAGCTATCTAGCAATACATTTGATTCTCTTTGTATTCATTCAGGAATACTTGTTTTTTTGGCAGATTAAATTTATTTGTTGCCATTTTTTATGCATACAGTCCACCGTATTGTGACTAACACAAGCTTCCAGGCAGCTGATGTGATTGTAATCCAGGAAAGCGGTTATCGAGGAGGAGAAAGAGTGTATTATGATAAATCACAGGATTATGTTTCCGTTCCGAAGGGACTTTGCTCTCAGGGCCTCCGCTGCGCTGAAGTATTTGACCATGTTAGGACGGATCGGGGATGCACTGAGGAGAGCTGCAAATCCTTGACAGATTGTTAAAATGAGCAAACGTTTTAAAAATTCATTTTCTTTAGTAGGGATGGGGAGATTTTTTTACAAGGACAATAAAATAACCAGACAAGGCTCCCCCTCTGGCTAAATCGCTCAGAAAGCAAGAAGACAGCGTCGTAGACACAAATTCCCTCTACACAAAATAAAATATGCTGAGTGCTGCAGTAGATGTGCGGGCTGATCCTGGGGCATCAGGAAGGGGAGATTAATTTTCCATAGATGAGCAGAAGAGATTCACTAAAGCTCAATACTTACTATCAGTCAAAACTCGGAGAATTAGATCTGGAGCATTTCTTTGGTGACTTCATAAAAAGGCCTTATTTATAACCACCCTCAGCAACAATGGCTTAGCGCAGCTGTGGTCGTGAGGGTGGCGCTGAAAGGAGGCAGGGCCACGAGGAGTCTGAACCGCCTCGAAGGCCTGGCAGCCACGGCCGAGCCTGGGATCCCGTCTGTGGATGAGCCACTGGTAGACTAATTCAGTCAGGCCTTGGCGGCAAGACGCTCAACCTCCGTGCAGCTCTTAGAATCACGTTGTGACTAGTGGAACTCAGTCTGTGCAAACTCTTCACTAGTTCATTTTCATTCTATTACAGAAAAGGTAGCCTCTTGTTTTTTTAAAATAAGTTTTGTGTTTTCACTTCGTTACAGTAGGAGTTGGCCCTGGGAGCACAGGGCCGAGAACATCTCTCTGAAAGGGCCAGAGGGAGTGAGAATAGCACAGCCCCTCACGGGCCCAGAGCAGAAAGTAGATAAAGAGCCCATGGCCCAGTCCCACGGTACCTCTAGAGACACACCAACAGTAAGAGGTTCGTTCATTCACTGTTGACTCACAGACTCACAGGTGTGGTATCAGAAGGGGAGGTCATTAGGGAAATAAGTTGGGAAGTAGGAGAAGAAAAAAAAAATCTCACAATATAAGGCCACAGGTGGTCCTGGAGTCCCAAGCCAGATTAACAGCAAAAAACAGTTCTTTAGTTAGTAAAAGTCGTAGTTTCAGTTCAGCAGTCACATCCAAATCATGCAGCAAGATTTGCCTCAGAGCAGTTACAAGTAGGCTTCTCTTTCAGTTATCTGGCAAGAATAGCAAAACTTCTAACTGCAGCCTTTATCTCAGGGCTCCTCTGCTTACACCTTGCCACAGTCTCTCCACCACCATCACCAAGGTGGCTCCACCAGGGGCTCGCTCCAGGCTTCCTCAAGTCTTGCCACTTAGAGTAGGAAGCATGCTTGTCACTTCCTCTCCTCCCCTCCCCTCCCCTGTCCTCTCCTCTCCTCCCCTCCCCTCCCCTTGCCTCTCCTCCCCTTCTCCCTCTCTTCCCCTCCCCTCCCCTCTCTTCCCCTCTTCTCCCCTCTCTCCCTTCCCCTCCCCTCTTCTCTGCCCCCTCTCTCTCCCTCTCTCTCCTCATTCTCTCGTTCTCCCAGTCCTACAGCTGTTGATGATTTGAAGACCATATGACTGCAGGTAGGTAGCTGGAGACCAGAGAGAGCTAAGGAAATGGCTAACACCTTCGTGCCTCCTGGAGAACAGTGGGAGGGTACTGCAAGTGTGTGAGCACCAGCACCCAGCACAGAGCAGCTGGGCCCCGGCCGGCTGCACTGACCAGTGAAGGACCGTGGACAGGGCACCAGCAGCATCTCCTCCTCTGCGTGGTCCTGCCTACCTGTGAGGACTTCCTCCTGTGCTGGAGAGCGCTGAGCTAAGGACCATATTAATAATTTCACATTTTACAGCCAGGGGTGGTTTGAATATTTCTTTTTATGCCGGCCACTTGTCTTTATACCTTTTAGCCTTTTACTTTTTATCAATGATTTTATACTTTTTATGTCACTGTATTTGCAACTTTATTGTTACTTGCCTCAAATTCTTTTTGAGTACAAAATAAGAATGTAAACTGATCTGAGAAACAGAAACACCAGAGTCACTTTGTGAATAACCAGGAGAGAGTGGCTCATGTCATTTTTGTTGTTGAGTACCTTAGAGTCAGAACCGGCCCATAGCTGACACTCTTGCGGGTTTTCAGAGGAGGTTACTCGCACAGGAGATTGGGCATCCTTCTTCTGCGGAGAAACTAGCTTCTTGCCACAAGTGCTACATAGAGACAGGAATATTTACTACCACAGTCTAATCTTACACTTTAGCCACCCAAGAATAAAATAAGTCATGAGTGTAAGCCAGGAAGCAAGAAACAAAATATCATTTCTGCATATAACTCCTTCATGTCTATGTGAAATGTGACAATGATATGGCAAAATGCTAGACCAGGATGAAAATCCTCGAGTCAGGAACGCCAGTGTGTGAGGGGGTCATGTGGCTGAAAACAGTGGTAAAAGAAACATAAGGAAGTACAGGCTCTCTGGGTGGCGCGGTGTGTTAACACGTTGCTCTGCTAACGGAAGGATCAGTGGTTCGCATCCACCAGCTCTTCCATCCATGAGAGAAAGGTGGGCGGTCTCCTCCCTGTAAAGGTTTTACAGCCTCAGAAACCTGGAAGGCGGCTGTGTCGATGCAGCGGGTAGACAAGAGATGCCATTAAGTGCATGCCCACATGGACCCTTGTCTTGTCCTCCTCAGGCCTGTTCTCCCCTGTAGCGTCCATCAGCATCTTAATGACTTTGTCATCTGCCAGCTCACGCAGGCTTACGCCCGGAGGCCCTCTTACCGCCCTCCCTGATGTTTACCTGTAGACCTGTCACCAGCTTCTGGCACCACCTGATTCCTCTCAACTCCAGCCTGTTCTTAAACTCACGTCTCTAGCCGTAAAGTCTTTTTGCCCAAATTACTAGATGATTACATTCAATAAACATAAAATAGATGACATCATTCAGTGATAAATATGGGTCTGTCTGCTCTGTGGATGGAATGAACACCGTGTTCTGGTTTTGGTATGTTGTACGTAGACCTTGTTCTTTTTGCTTTGGTAAGTTCTTAATCACAGAGAAACAGATACTGAAGTACATCCAGCTAGAGTCGGCCAGGATTCCCTCACCCCTGCCCTGTTCATTCCAGGAGATTTAACACCACCACCCTCTGCCCACTAGATGTTAGTGCCACCTTAGGGTCCATGTCATACCACCAACAAGGTCACCCACGTGGCCCCAGTTGAAATGCACAGGGCTATGCCATTCACTGTCCACATTTGTGGTATAGTCCCCTGCACCTTCTGCTTGGGGTGTACTAGGCTTTTCAGTCGCCCAACAGCAGTGAAGCTGTGGCTTAGTGGGAAGGAACTGCACCACCAGCCCACAGCTGTGCAGTTTGAATCTACCAGCTGCACGGGGGGGAGAGAGGCGGACAGTCTCTTCCTGCACTGTTTGCAATCTCGGCAAACCCACTGGAGGGTCAGCTGTGATTAGTTCCTACTCCGCAGTACACAGCAACAACATCAATGAATAGGAGCTGTTTTCATCCTCGTTCTCAAGTGAGCAAGCCTTAGTTTAAGTGATGATGGCCGGTTACACGGGCCTGGGCCCTGGCTAGCACCCAGGTGGTTCCACTCTGCGGCTTGGTATCCTCAAGCTGGATCCTGTCTCCCACTGACCAGCTTAACCCTCTCTCTCCCTGGAAGCTGCCAGGAGGAGTTCCTGCCTGCTAGGGTTGAGTGGTTGGTAAGTGCAAAGGACAGAGCAAAGGGCAGATGTCACCAAGCATTCACAGTGAGCAGTCACTGAGAAAACTAAGGTCCTGTTTCCCAGGCTGCGTAATCCAAGATGTCTGTGTCAGACTTCAGAGTTCAGCTCACAGAGGTGCTGCACCAAGCCCTGAGGGGCGCAGAGGAAGCTGGGAGCCAGCCTGGGTGGTCCAGGTGAGAATCCGAGCAGGTGAAGCCAGGTAGGGATGGAAGGCCTGCACACCTTTTCATTATGCTGTTAGCTGGTTGGATAGGGTTATTTTACAGGAAACAGCTGCTTTTCTGAGAATTCGGGGTCTTGTGTTGGAAGAAAACACTCTAGCACTGGCTCTCTCTTTTGTATTCTGTAGACCACTATCCCCAGGACACAGAAAGTGAAATGTAATATAGGACTGTTGGATGTGCAGACTGTATGTAAATCCAGTCACATGAGCAAAGTGAGATGACCGTGTAGATTTCAAAGTAATCTTATCACATTGGCATTACTTTTATCAGGATTCATTTAAGTGACTATTTCTTTAGGAAATAAAGGCACTCAAAAGGAAGTTGTTGTGTACTCTTCAGGTCATAGCTGACCCGCCAGCTGATTTTAAGAGGCAGCAAATTGCACAGATTGAGCAGCTTTCTTCCGCAGAGCAGCTGGTGGACCATGTACCTTTGAATTGGCAGCACATTTCTGTACCGTGAAGCCAGACTTTAGACATAAACCGTCATTTCAATGTTTACAGGATTCCCTTCCTAATTCCCGTTTGCAGTGATGCCATTTCATTTCAGCTGTTCCCACTCACACCTATTGGCATTATTGCAGAAGAGAACAATAATTTAGCAAGTAAAAGAGAGAACAGATCTTTCCTCTCCACATAAATGGAAATTATTTACTCACATAAAATATGTTCATGCACTTCTGAATTTATTAATGTACAATGTCTTTGGCTTTCTCCTCTTACTGCTATGTTGTTAACAAGACTGAATATAAATTAGTACAATGGAAAGAGTGTAGTGTTTCCTTTGCGTCATAGAAAAAACAGGTTTTTTAATGTTAAAATATTTTAACATATATAATTTGATTAATCATTTAAAAATAATTTATTCTATACATTTTGCTTTTAAAAATATTTTCACGTCCCTTAACAATTGAAGCAGCTCATCTGTAAGAAAGCCACAATAACCTAGTTAAGTAGAATAAAATTTGAAAGGGGAAAACCTAGCATTTTGAAAGTGAACTTTATTATCCAAATACTAATGAATGGATTAAATGAGATGGAGAGAAATCCAAAACAGTGAATTTAAGTCTGCAGAAGCTTTTTGCCAGCAGCAGAAGGGGGCATTCTTGGCACAAACTTTGGTTGTCATGTGTCTTGTACTTTGTATGTTAAGAGTCCTGCACATGTTAGTTTGTGTTTGTTTCCCCGCTCCCCTTTAGTTCCACGCCTCTTAGTTTGAATGTATTGTCCTCAACTCTTGCAAATGTGCGTGGACTTTGAAGGTGAACGAGTGGGAGGTGAGGACGCAGTGGGGACCATCGGGGCAGCCTCTGGTGAGGCGGCCTGTACCTCCACCCTGTGCCCTCTTACAGCGTGGCCTCAGAAAAACTCGGTCACTGGGACGCTGGCCAACACAGTAGAAGAAGGAGGTGCTCTTCTCGATTCACACCTGGGCAGGGTCCTTCTGAGACTTGGCAATTCAATCCTTTTATAAAGTCCAGTTAAGTACCTTCTTGGAAGTTGTACCAATTTTTAAAAATCATTAATGACCTTATATATATAGTCAGTATTTGTTTCGGTTGCAAACCTTTAGAGTAAACAAAACATAGAAATAGTAATGGGGAAATAATCTTAAAGCAGACGCAGTTATACTTGGACATGGTCCTTCTGTTGGCCTTCCACAGCACCAAGTGGATTTCCAAGCACTTTACCCTCGGTCGTGAGCGGTGAGCATCATTTCAATCTACAGTAGAACCAGAGGCTGCTCCCCAGTCCACGCAGACGCAGGCCCTCACACATAATCCTTGCGATCATACGATGGATCGCTGTCCGGCTGCCCAGGCGCCTGGACCCAGGCCTGTGGCTTCATGCGCAAGCAGGACGCGCAGAACAGCAGCCCCGAGACCAGCAGCAGTGCAGCCCCCACGAAGCCCACATAGAGTGCACCCCCGGGCTCCTGCTTGCTGCCCTCGGGCACCATGGGGTCCAGGAAATCGGCTATGATCTCCTGGGTGTACCACACTGTGGGGATGAGGCCTGAGAGCCCCGCGGACAGAAGGCAGAGCCCGCCGGCAAAGGCAGCGTGGCTTTTGGTTTTGGGGTCCCCTCCCAGGCGCGTGCAGCTCATCCCCACGGTGGATGTGCAGATCCCGAGTGCGGACAGGAGGCAGGCCAGCACCATGGCGGCCCGGGCGGCCTGCACATGGGCGGGCAGGGCCAGGATGGAGAACTTGAGGGCACAGCTGAACATGCCAGTGCTGTACCACGTGCAGTCCATCCACAGCCCCTGCATCTGCACCAGGGCTGTGATGATGCCCGAGCCCCCGTCCACGTGCACCTTCCAGTTGGGCAGAAGCGTGGCCGCGAGCACCCCAGAGCCGCCGGATAAGGCCAGGCCGAAAGCAAAGAGCTGGATCCTTGCCCAGGCCATGGCGTGGCGTCGGTAAGGCTGGTGCTGGCTTAGGATGGTGCGCTGCCCGGATGGAGTGGAGCGCTGAGCACTGGAGGCTGGGGAGAGAGAGTGATATGCAGTGAGCAGAGCAGAGAATGAGCAGGGGCTGAGGCCTGGCATGGGAGGTGCCACCCCTGTCTCCTGGCACAGAGAAGGAGCTGGGTCTTCCTACAACAAATGTGGCCAAGTGCCCCAGAAGCCACCAGGTCCCCTACTGGTCAGGAGAGAGACAACTGTTGGATTCCAGCTGTAGGATTTGACTAAGAATCCACACATTGACTGTTTTTCATTAAAATGCTTGGTGGTAGGGAGCTCTCATGGCCTAGTGGCAAGAAGCTGCACTGCAATCCCAGAGATTGCGGTTCGAATCCACCAGATGCTCTGCTGGAGAAGGAGGGGTAATCTCCTCCTGTACCAGTCAGATCTGATATGATGGTCCACACACACAAAAATAATAAAATATTATTATTCCATGGTTGATTAGGGTGCTCTGATGGCACAGTGCTAGCGAGTTCTGCTGTTAACTTAAAGGCCTGGCTTCTCTGGAGGTCCGACTCCATTAGCGGCCAGTTGGGAGAAAGGCTCCTTCCATTAGGGTTTACAGTGGGTCTCTGCAAATCAGAAAGAACAGATGACAGTGGGTTCGAGTCACAAGAGTTTCGTTCCACATTCACCAAATGGTTTCAGCAAGTCACTTATTGATTGAGCACTTGCCACAGGCACAGGACCCAGTCAAATCATGGCAGGAGAAGTGGGAGGCCATGGGGTGAGCACCATTTACGACCCTTACCCTGCAGAGACCGGGTTTCCCGTCAGGTCCGAGACCACAGCCGCCGGCCACTGGCTTTGCCTTATCAGATCGTAAGCTCATTTCCATTTGGAACCAGAGTCGTTTCCTGACCCAGACGGGGCCATCCGCTGTAGAAGTGATGCCTCTGAAAGCTCTGTCATTGAACCCTGAAAATACATACCAAGGATAGCCAGAGATCACTAGCAATCACTTGCTGCTTTTTCGTTTTGTAAGAGGCGGAAAGATGGCACTGGCCGTGGTCTGGCTGTGTCTTCAGCTGCAGCCTCAGTTGCCCCGTCTCCCAGTACCTACCTGAGAGGAATCCAGTGGCTTCTGGAATCCTCCCACAGTGGCCTCTGTGGTTCCGAATGACGTGTCAGCTGCTCCAGCGGAGGGGCTCTGTCACCATTGATGGATGTCCCCCGGGAAGCCGACGGGCTCTGAGTCCCGACCCGGGGTCAGCTCTGCACGTCACCAAAGCTCACTGGCCACAGCTCTCCCTTCTGAAGAGGAGAAGCCACTAGTGTGTGTCACAGGATTATGTAAGATATGTCACTTACTGTACAGAGGTAACGCGTGGTTGCTGTGAAGCCAAACACTGTGACACTGATGAGTCAAATGCAAGAATGGTTACCCATGGTGGACAGTGTTTGGTGGAGCTCCCCGGTTAAAACAAGCTTGGAAGCAGGAGTGGCATCCACTTCCACGATAGCTTGCCTTGGGAAATCCTATGAACCTGGAGAAAGGACAAAACTTATACAGGAGGTATTCAGGACTTTTGTTCATAGGGTCGCTATGAGTCACCTGCAACTGGACAGCACTTAACAACAACAACAACATGTCAACCCGGGCCTTCTAGGGGCTTCGACCATTATCTCACCCACAGAAACCCCCACAGCTGACTTTAGTATTCAGGTTTTCATTTTTTTATTTCATGGGACAACTGATATTTAATGGTATTTGGACTCTTTAGTTGATGTCCATGGAAACCTCTGCTGTCATCCTGCCCATGAGGACTTTGTGGGCAAGGTCCGCAGACAGCAAGTCCCCAGTGTCCACTGTGTCCTCAGCAGCACTGGATAGTGTACAGAGCTTCCGTCTCTCCCTGTCTCACTCTCTCCTGTCCTCTGACCTCATGAATTGGGCAAAACCCTGGTTTTGCAAAACCCTTGTGCTCTTGTGTGCTTCCCAGGCAAGCATCACACAGAGCAAGGGAGCCCCCGTACCTGGAGGGAAATGTCACCCACCTTACCACCAGGAAAACAAACAAAAAACAAACCAAAAAAACCCTCAGCTCTATAAAGTATTAACAGGGCAAGTGGTTCACTTCAGATGACCCATCAGAAAGGTAGGTGGCTTTGGTCACATATCCCACGTACTGTCAATTCATGCCTGTATCAAATTGTGTACTCTGGGTAGATAACAGAATTGATTTCCTTACAAGTTCAGCCCTGGACCTCAGACTCTCATTCAGATGTATCCAGAAATAGCACTGTGCTTATAAAATGCCAGCTATTTTATAACTCACTTATTCTCCATTTCCTAAATTTCTTCTCTTAGGCCAAAATATATTTTTTTTATTCATTTTAATGAAAGTTTACAGAGACAGGGTTTACAGTCATTCATTGTTGCACTTTCCTCCCTGTCCACCCCCACTCCTCCTTGAAAAGAAAAATTCTTTCATTGTTATACAGTCACATACAATCACTCCCCCCAAGTCCACTCTACTGTACAGCCTTCATTCTGGACTCCTGACATGACAATAATATCCAATCATATATCCCTTTTAAACAGTTCTCTCCCTCATAGGTTTCAATGCAGTATACATCATTCCTCTCCTCCTTCTCTGTCTTCCCTCAACCCTGATGTCAGTCCTGTTTTACAATAGTATTTTAAGAAAAAAAACTTGAGGCACAATTTGTGGTGTTTTCACAGCTGTTTTTTAGTTTGGGGTTTGAGTGTTTTGGACCCCAGCCCGCTCACTACATCTCAGCCAGACCCCCCATGGTACCCAGTGTAGGCTTCTGCCCAAGCAAGGTGACAAGACAACTCCCTAACAGCACTTTCCCCCGTCTTTCTTTCTTTTTTTTACGTTGAGATGTTGATCAAACTAAGCTCTGCTCCCCAATTAGACACGTCCTTTTTCCATTAGCAAGTGCATTTTCTACATTCCAGTGTAATTCGGACTTTCCGACAGCCTGTTCATCATAATTAACCAGTACTGACAGTGATAAATTATGGACGGCCGAGACCTGGATCAAAGTCTGACATTGCCTTTAGCGCCGACTGTCGAATATTGGGCTTTGCATTCTCTCTACTGCGTAGACAACTTAGAATCTCTTCTGCAAAAGGAAGGTGACTATTCTTGTTCTTTTGTGAAAATATACTGGCATTTTTGTTTTATTGCCAGGAGGTCATTGTTTTCTCTCTCCAGCCACATGCATCATAGTTTTATGGCCTTTTCTTGCTAGGTTCCATCTCGGAGGGAATAAAGCCTTACTTTGTTTTACTCGTAGTGTTTGCAGCAGAGAAACATTGAGAGACAGCAAGTGCAAAATGTAGCTCCAAGTAGAGAACCCCTCAGAGCTCCCCAGGGCACACAAAACAGAACTGGGGGTATTAAACTCATAGCTTATTTGCCCAACAAAACCCTGTTCTCACTGAGATGCAAAGTCAGGATTTCAGACAAGATTCATTTCTATCAAAACTAGCACTTGAAAGCAGAGTCACAGCTTCTGGTTCAAGCAAAATAATCCTTAAGATATTTCTCTACGTCTTAGAGATAGAAGCTTCTCATTTGCCATACCTTTTGTTGACAATCTTCCGTGTCTTAACGCCTTCTGCCACTTGTCTTCACATGAACCCCAATAAGAGACAGTGAAGAGAAAGCTGATACGGGAGGCTCATCTCAGAGATGCCGATTATTAGTGGTAAAGCGCCAACGAGTTAGCTTGCAAATAAAGAACAACATGGACCTCTGAGAGGTAGAAACTGCTGATGATGCTGGAAGATAAATACCAGGTTCTCCATCTCATTTTTTGAGCTGTGGGAGAATTAAGAAAGGAGAGGCGGGGAAGGGAGGGAGTTGTTGTTAGAACAGGATTTGTTGAAACCTGAAAGCTGAAATGCCTTTGTGTCGCTGTGTACAGAGGAGGGAATGTTTGGGCGCTCACAAAATAGGCTTTCTTTTCTTTAATATCATGTTGCAGGCTTAGAGTTATAATTTCTTTTTGACTTTGTATCTCATATTGGAAAATAGAGTTTATTATTTTATGGTCCTCAATTAAATGAAACAATGCGGTCTGCAATATTTTTAACCAGACTATGCTTTTGTAAATGATAATTGAGACTCTCTTTTTTTGTCTGTGCTGCATGTTAATTTGTCCAAAACTCAGAGGCACAAAATTGGTAACTTCACTCTTTTCACAGTAAGTGCTCAGAGGAGTTTTTTAAAATAATGTTTTAAGTAAATAAAAGAAAGAAAAGCGAGAAACGGCTGTTGACTAGAATCACAGAAAATGTTTTCAGGGATAAAACTTACCAAGTCAGAGCCTTCAGAGAGTGCCATGGACAGAGGACCCAGGGTGGCTGGGCAGAGGAGAGGACACAGAATGGCTGGAGGTGCATCTCAGATGTCACAGATACTGGCAGTCTTAACGTTTCCATTTGTTTGACCTACTCAGAATGAAGCTTTCTCCTTTCACATTTTCGCTACTTGTTCAAGGCACCTTGTGGTCAGAATAAACTAAGTGCGAATGGAATGGGGTTTTCAGTCAGACTTGTGGGTTTTGCTAGGCATTCTTTGAAACATGGTCAAGTCTGCTTGAAATTAAACGTCGAAACTCTGAACCGTGGATACTCGTTCAGACAACGTTCACCTCCAGACCCTGTGGGTCCTCACGCTGTCCCCCTCAGCCAGTTGCCACAAAGTCAGTTCAGTTTTTATTCTACAAGCTGTAAATTCACAGCATGAATCTAAATTGACTTAATGGTAGTTTGGCTTTATAGAAAAACCTGTGATTTGGTGTTTACATTTTTACAGCTGTTCTCACCACATTAGATGTGAATTATGTCTTTCAGAGGGAGCCCTGGTGGTGTAATCCATAGGGAGTCAGGCTTCTCTGGTGGTTCAAATCCCCCAGCAGCTCCAAGAGAGAAGGATGGGCCATCTCCTCTCATGTGATTCACA